TTTTATATATATACAAAATATACTATGCAGGACCTAAAGAGAAAGTGATGACATCACCTTTAAGAAACCAGTCTAAAAAATAGGGCAAAATTGAACCAATGCAGCACAAGCTAAATGAATTAAAACCTGGCACCATGATAGATCTCACATAGTGATTTGGAGATAAGAATTATCATTTATTGTGAGTTTTTTCCTAGTCATCAAGGAGGTTTTGGTCAAAACAACAATCATTATCTTTTTCAACAATGTGGAAGCAAAAATAAAATTCTTGCCGGTGAACTTTGCAGATGTCATAAAGACGATGCCGTGATAATTGATGAGGAGGACAGGTTCAGCTCTGCAGAAGAGCTTGAATCACATGCTAGACTGTGCCCACATTAGGATGAGACTGTATGACACATTTACCAGTGGTGTTTGTATTTTAGGAAACAGTGACTTTGAAGCAGATTTGAGATGAACATGAGCTCAAAATGTGATAGAGTAGCTAAGAAAACAGTGACAATCTTATATCTAAGAGGGAAATACTGAGCAGGAGAGTGTGAGATGGTGTTACCTCATGATGGTTTATTAGCAAAAGTTTTTATTCAGTTCATCTGCCTGCATGTTAGCAACAATGCTAAAGTGATAGGAAACATCCAGAAAAGAATGATGAAAAGTATTAGGAACCTGGAAAATCTTCCTAATTCTGAGAGTAAAGAAGCTTTGGCAGCATAAACAAACTGCAAGACATTAAGCTAGTGGAACACTTTGCAGAAGATTATCTTTGCTGTGCTGGCTGCCCACCAGTATGTTCTTTACCTTGTGGACAGCACAAGGCTGTTTTGCCCTCAGTGAAAAGCAGGGTAGCTGTTTTACCTTCACCGTGGTTGAAAGGGAACACAAGAACCACTGCTGTAAAGTGGCTAGTGCACTATCTTCTTGTTGCTTAACAGTAACTTACCCAACAGTGCCGCACCTTCAGTGAATTCAAAAGTAGGTTAAAAGGTGACGTGGTCAGGACACAAGAGTACAAATGTGGGAAGCTGTCATATTCTTGTGGTTCATTTAAATTAACACAATCTCTTGTGAGACGCCACCTGGAGTACTGCATCCAGCTCTGGGGGCCCCAGTACAGGAGAGACATGGAGCTGTTGGAGCGAGTCCAGAGGAGGGCCACGAAGCTGATCAGAGGGCTGGAGCACCTCTCCTATGAGGACAGGCTGAGAGAGTTGGGGTTGTTCAGCCTGGAGAAAAGAAGGCTCCAGGGAGATCTAATTGTGGCTTTCTAGTACCTGAAGGGGCCTACAGGAAAGATGGTGAGGGACTGTTTATCAGGGAGTGTAGTGACAGAACAAGGGGTAATGGGTTCAAGCTGAAGGAGGGTCGATTTAGATCAGATGTCAGAAAGAAATTCTTTACTGTGAGGGTGGTGAGGCACTGGAACAGGTTGCCCAGAGAGGTTGTGGAGGCCCCATCCCTGGAAGTGTTCAAGGCCAGGTTGGATGGGGCTTTGGGCAACCTGGTCTAGTGGAGGGTGTCCCTATCTGCAGCAGGGGGGTTGGAACTAGATGATCTTTGAGGTCGCTTCCAAGCCAAACCATTCTATGATTCTATGATTCTATAATCCAGTGGCTTGAAGGTGAAGCTGGAAACATTGAGACTTGAAATGAAAACCTAGTTTTCTAGAGATGTTAATTCTATTACATTACAAAGGTTTCTATAAGATCACGTAGAAGTTTTATCTTCGATACATGGAATCCCAGAAGAATATCTTGGATCTGATTTGTCCAAGCAGCCACCTTACCTTTTCCTTTAAAAAAATCAACGTAACTGTAAGGTCAAAAAAGTATGAGGCTTGTTCTCCCATCTTGACATGTGATGCACACAGCCACCATACTGCCAGGAGTATAAATAGTAAGAATTTCTGGACTGAAAATTGGTTTATGGATTATAGTCCTGATGACTTTAAATGATCTTTTATAAATTATGATTTCTTTATAAATGAACCCTTATCATTATAATTTAATGATAAAGAGAGAGAAGACACAGCCAGCTGCAAATGAGATTAAAGTTAGGAAAGGCATGCTGAAGGCTGAGCTCTTACTCTTGCATATCAGCATCACAGCATCACAGCATTAGCATTCTACTGAAATGTAAGCATGTAAACATCTTGCCATCACTGAAGACATGTCTATAGAAAGGCTTCTCAAGGTATATGTTTGTAAGATATACACAATGCCTGTTTGCTTGGGTTTTTTTGTGAAATATGTATTAATATATATTTGTTCTGGTCAATAAACTGCTTCCACTCTGCTTAACAGGACATTGCATTCATCATTTCCTGTTCCTGAACTGCTTTTGCTCTTGTTGATGCCTTTAAACAGCAAAAAAAAAGGAGATCATCCCTCTATTTACTTACAGCCCAAATCTTGTCCCAAATCCTGGTAGCACTTGCAGTGCTACAAAAGCTCACAGAAATGACACTTCTTGTCATTTGCATCCATAGAAGAGTTCAGCTTCAGTGGTTGAAGAGAGGTAAAATTTGCATGTGATTGTTAATTTCACTGAGGAACCTTATGAAAGTATATTCCATTTGCCCCAGACTTTCTTCTTTGAAGGTTAAAATTACATTTTCAGAAACAAGGTATCTTGCATGAGGGGTTTTGCACAGACACACTTATACACATATATACATGGATGCATATTAAAGGACTTGCAGAAAATTTGAGCCAAAATCTGACAGGAATCAATGATGTTCTGTCAGAATCTCAGTGCAGGAGCCTTAGACAGCAGCACTCTCAGCTTTCCCAGAGCAGGACCTGATCTACGAGGTTAATTGTAAGGATTTATTTCATTGAGGGATCAGAAACCCAAAGCTGGCTCTATATAATACTTAAATCCTTTAATGCAACCAGCAGAGCCACAGCGCTCCTGTCCTCTAAAGCTAATGCTTTCTATTAATTCAAGATACCTGTTCATTCATCTTTCTTTCCAGGTCAATTGCTAAAGGAAGGGTTTTGTGGTTGGAAGAAAGGCAAGCTCACACTTCAGAAAGATAGGAGAAAAACTGCTGGCCCCTTTGTAGTCAATAGGACTTTTATCACTGGCTTCAATTCTGGATTTCTCCAAATGTTTTTGTATATGCAAAGTTATATTTGTGTAACTTTTTCTGTACATTTGTTTACCAGATCTGTACATGGAAATAAAATCAGAAACACTTCTGAACTCTGTTTTCACACAGTGATGAAAAGTTTTCCCAGAAAACAACAAACATGAAAAATGGCAGGCATATATGTATTGTTCACTAATAATTTCTATAACATAAATTCAAAGCTCCAATCTATTGACTCCTAAGAATGAGACACTTTCATGGACAACTTTAGGCTGTGTCAAGACAAAATCCTACCTGGAAATCGTCAGAATTTATGATACTCAAAACCTGAATCTGAATTTTGTTCTTTGGCCTGCTTTTTACCAAAAACCAGCAGAACGCAGGGAAATCCTACAAGTGATTACATCTCTTCATCTCACTATGAAGGCAGGGAAATTGGAATGACTTCTGATGAAGAGGACAACGTGCACATTATATTCCTGGACTAGCCCCTTTTCTCTCTATCATTTCAAATAGGTAGTGAAAGCTGACTAATCACATTAACATTTAAGGGCATCATTTTATAATAAAGGCTGGAAGATATCTTTGTTCATACTATTCCATAAACTAGTGACCTGAACAGAAAATACACTTTACGTGAATCTCCCATTTACCTGACTAACAAGCATAGACTAACCAAAGTGTGTAGAAATTACAGTGCAGTTTGTGGAATTCTCGTAACACAGGCTGTAATTCCTCAAATGGTTAAAAAAAAAAAAAAAAATGTCTGTTAAGAAGTCTGGAGACAGAATAAATACGGTCAGTTCCTTCTGCACCAGAAGAGCTACAAGAACCCCCCATATGTGTTTTTGAGACATTTGCTTTCTGTCAACCTGTTCAGCTAGTCTTTGATATTACTGAAGCAATTATATAATAAGCATTAATGTATTTATAGCAAACAGACACTGTCTGACTAAAAACTAGAAATATTTATGGAAAAACAACATGAGCTACTTATCTGACACACCAATATACCCTTATATCTCAATGGTGTTATGTCTGAAGAATGAGAGGTGATGAGATCAGATGAAAGTTTTACTGAAATGGACTCATGGTTACAAAATATTTTACTGAAAATGGCCTTGCTGCTTCAAGTATGGTGACAAACATTCTGCTACAAGTGGAGTGTGAGTGTATGTAAAAAGATAATTCTATCTACATTTACCTACTCTGATCCCAGTTGGCTGCAAAAAGCAGAAGAATCTTCCTGCCACAGTGGTCACGATTTTCCAGTACTCCTGGGAACCCATCTGTCAGAGCCCGTTTGATTCCTGGATCATCAGCCTTGAAGTTTTTGAACATATCCAGGTTTAATTGGCGGTACTGGAAGTACTGAGCCAGCAGTCTGAAGGCCTCAGTTTGGTGAAACTTTCTGGCTCGGAGAAATCTCAAGATGAAGGCATCATCTGTACGTAAAAACCCAATGTCAGGTCTCGTGATGATCATGTCCCTGACTTGCTGGATATCCTGATGCAAAATGTCTGGGTTTTCATTCAGTTCCAGGCGGGCTTTCTCTATAGTCTCTGGACTAAGTCCAGCTTGCAAATGGGTCATCTCTGCAAAAACCTCTTTTCCAAATCCTTAACTTCAGATATTTTAGTAGGAGAAGTGCTGATCCCATTCAATTGATGGTCTGCTGTGAGCGTGAGCCATTCAGAAGCTTTTTGCTATCAAGCTGACATTTAACAAATGAGAGCAAAGGGCTTTTCCTAGTCTTGCAGAAAGAGTATCAGGCAGTTCACATGTACTATAATCCATCCACAGGAAAGTGGTGTTTATTCCATCACTTACTAAAAGAAAAAGCAAATATATATAAAAAAAATATTAAATATGTATATAAAGCTTACACAAATGCATTTCTGAAATTTATATAGCAATAAAATTGTTCTGTGTGTAAGAGGATAGCAGTCAAATAATTTCAGAATGGGTGCATTTAAGATAAGGCAGTCACTGACGTCTTGAATGTGTATATTCAAGCTTTCAGTAAGGCAATCTGATTAATTGACAATTAATACTAAGCTGTATCAAATTACTATTAGAATACATTTTGCAAAGATGTCTTATAGAAGTGTGGGAGTTTCAGCATCAAGTAACTTCAAGCCCAGGATGACAAAATTAAAAATAATAGTCATTTTTTTCCACCCCTAACAGGAGCTACATTTCAGCTTCCTAAGTATGCAGATTTACACTTATCATAATAAGTATAGCAACTGTTTGATTTGGTTTTATCACCCATACTATCAGCTTGTAGCTTTCCTTGAATTAAACCCTGAGCTCATTGTAAAACTGATTAAAAAAAACCCCAGAACTCCACCAACATCAGGAGTATCTTCTACTTGCTAAAACCTCACTGAAAATATTTCCCATTGAGACTTAACACATCTTCATGGGAAACTTCCCATGAATAAAGTCTTTGATGAATCTAATCCGACAAGGTTGGTGTTTCAGTTGAAGAGATGCACTTTATTCCAAATTCTATTTTTTTTTTTAGTATCTTGTAGCTTTCCTGAATACATAGTTCTGAATTTCATTTTCATTGCTGTACTTTACCTAGAATTTTTTTTACAAGTGTTAGAAGAAAAGCTGCTTAAGCTGTTATGTATGAGCTAAATGGTACAGTGAATCTCTTACATTTCAGTGACATAATTAGCAAGAGGCTGTCATTGAAGTCTGTGTAGTTACACTTGTGTGAAATAAGATCAAGGTCTGTTCCAATGTGAAATATGTGTGAAGAAAGATCAAGATCCATCCAATTTTCAGCCATCACAAAAACAGACAAGCAAACAAAACTCCCCACCGCTTAACTGATCTCTCTCTCTTTCGAGTTTCTGAAAAAGAAATAATTGGTTTTAAAAATTTAAAGGGAATCCCTCAATGAAGAACATACTTTATTGTATTTGAAGAAAGCTGTTTGGAAAGTTATGAATTATTTATAGCAAAAACAACCATTTCACTCAGCTACTCCCCTGGGTTCAGCGTTCTCATATCAAACAAAGGGGACAGCAGCAACCAGAGCATTTCTTTGTCCAGGGGCTGCTCAAAGTTACATTGCAGGACCTGGAAGTCAATCAGCACAAGGCATGCCCGAGTTCCCTGTTTTGTGAGCTTGCACGTCATTGCTAAAACCTACATTTTAGATGCCACAGCTGCAACCCCAGGATGAGATCCTGAAATTTGAATAGAGAGTTTCTGCGTATTTGCTTAAAGGATGTTTGCGGTGGAAGATAAACTTTTCATTCAACAGCAAAGTGCTTTAGACTTGTCTGTGGGTGATACAAAGGAGAGTTTGTTAAGCAGCCTCTTTCTGTATTCACCGTGGAGCTGGAGTTAAGAAGAGCTACCTGCAGGGCAGCGTAACTGGTGATTCATCAGCCTGGGAAAACTTGGGAAAAGGCATGGCAGGGGAGGAAAGAAGGCTGGCTGCCTTTGACAAGTCACTACGGAGTGCAAACGACTCCAGAAAAACAAGCCTTGAAGTTCTGAGGGGGTAATCTATGGGTGCAGGTTATTCAATTCTTAAAGAAATATGAGTTGTATTAAAGGTGGATGGCACACATAAAAATAAAGTAACAGTTATTTGTTTTGCTCTCGCCTTTATTAGATCAAATTAGGACAACTCTGATGGTATCAACTGAATTCCACTGATGTAAAATTGATCGAGGCCATGGGAAAATCAGGCAAATATTTTGTGCTTAAGATCTCAAATTAATAGTCTCATTAGCATTTTCTTGCATAAATCATGGATTTAGTTACAATTGCCTCCATGAGCTAGTTAGGGGAGCTTGGTGTGTTTAAGTGTGACACTGTCATTGGGGAGTGTAGTGTAAGGATTTGTTCTTGCCCTAGGTTTAACAGCAAGCGGTAACCTAAGGAGGCTGATTGTGCTCAAGGGTGGTCGGCGGAGGGGTGGAAGCAAGGAGCTTGTTTGGTTTCTGTGTCAGGACTCAGTATGAATTGGAACACATTTGGAGCTCCTATGACTTAGAATTACAGAAGCATAGAATGACAGAATGGTTTGGGTTGGAAGGGACCGTTAAAGATCATCTAGTCCAACCCCCCTGTCATGGGCTGGGACATCTTTCACTGGATCAGGTTATCCAGCCTGGCCTTGAACACTTCCAGGGAGGGGGCATCCACAACCTCTCTGGGCAACCTGTTCCAGTGCCTCACCACCCTCACAGTAAAGAATTTCTTCTTTATATCCAATCTAAATCTATCATCTTTCAGTTTGAAGCCATTACCCCTTGTCCTATCACTACATGACCTTGTAAACAGTCCCTCTCCAGCTTTCCTGTAGACCCTTTCAGGTACTGGAAAGCTGCTATAAGGTCTCCCCGGAGCCTTCTCTCCAAGGCCAACAACCTTCTCTCCAACAACCCCAACTCTCTCAGCCTGTCCTCATAGGAGAGGTGCTCCAGCCCTCAGATCATCTTCATAGCCCTGCTCTGGACCAGCTCTAACAGGTCCAAGGACTTGTAGCAGTTAACTGTGACCCCACTGGGTTCATCCATTTTCTGAGAGTTTATGAGAGTAGAACTGTCCCTGCTCCTTTTCTGACTCCCACCTCCACCAAGATGCTTCTTTGGAAATAAGGCAAATTCTTGAAAGGTCAGTGACAGTGTATTCCAGAAGAAAATGGAGATATACTAAGGAGAGAAAGTCTGGCCCTTAAGATTTTCTTATAGGATCCCCAAGAATTTAGTGTCAAAAATTATGCTACTTATGATCATTAAAGTCTCCTACTGTTATTACCTTACTTAAATGGGTTAGCACTCTTCATGCCTAGGATGATCCCAAGGTGAGGAAGATGCATTCCTCTCCTGTCAGACATTGTTGCCAAAAAACAACTTACAAATACTCAGTCTAACAAGAGATACATCTCTTAATGCATTTCAGAGTTTTCTGATAGTGAGCTGAGCTATAGCCATGGGTTACAGCTTACAGGAGAGCCTTTATAGGTTATCCTGATTATCTGCCGGAACAAACTTTGCACTAAAATACTTTATTGGCATTACATTATATATTGTAAAATAATCCAAAATAGGTATGAATAATGTTGTCGCTATCTGAATCATAACACAAATCATGGGGTTAGTAATCCACTCTACCACCATTGACTTGAAGGGGTCTGATTTATGTCAGTGGATGATTTGGTTCTCCCACTGCTTACCTTGACAACAAATTTAATGCTCCATAGCTATCCAGTTTAATTGTCATTGTGCTTTCTCAAATTGTACTGATTTATTCTGATTCCCAAAGGTGTAACAGAAGCACCTTCTCCATTCTAACCCCCTCCCACATATGGCGATTTCTGTTCTCTTCTGGTGTTGTATACAGCTCTGATCCATATGCCAATTTCTCAGATGTTTACATCTTTGCTCTGTTTTTTGGTTTTTTGTGGGTTTGTTTTTTTTTTTTTCTCCCAAATGAAGATGTTGGTCTTTTTTCCCCTATCTTGAATATTGTTGCTGCATATTGGCACACTAGACTCTTTGTTATGGTCTCCACAGCTGTTTATCTATGTTGCGACTCTTTGTTCCCAAAGGACTATTTGCTCTCCTAACGTCTTTTCACAGCCACTTACAATAAATCATCCTTCCAAGGGAACAAAACCCAGCTTTAAACAAGGAAAAATAATTAACAGATGTTTGAAACACAACATATTAATACAGGAAAAAAAGGGAAATTTCCACCAAAATGTGGTGTCACATACCATTTTCATTTCCAAGAAGAAAATGACAAGGGACAGAGAGTGGCTTTAGGATGGGTAAAATACTGAAAGTGGGATACAGTGTTCAGGTAAACACCTTACATATTTGCCTGATCCTCAAAAATAAAATTTAGTTAATAATAAAATGTATAGTAATACTTAATAATTAGCTAAAATGAAAATAATATCTCAAAGAAGTATATATAACACTTTCCATCCAAAGATCTTAATATGCTTTACTGCTCTCTTGTCAATGACAGATTCTGGATCAGCATTCAATCCCTGTTTGCTCTATGTCCCCTGGAAAACCAGCCAAAACCTGCTCTCAGTGATAATGACGTTTGGCTGTTCATTTTGTTCCTGTCCACTTAGCTGTCCCTGCAACACCATTTGCCCCTTGAAGCACCATCCTCATGTCCATTTGGCCCTTCCTCCACCACTTCAGATCCAGAAAGATTTTAGTTGCCTCTGTCTACTAACTGTTTTCCATTCAGTTGAAAGCTATGCCACGTGAAATTTCATTACCACAGCTTTCAAATAGGGAAGACACTAGGGTCTGATCCTCACCTGGTACTCACAGTCATCACTGTTATGATTTGTCTCATTATGTAATTCCTAACTCCTAGCATTCATACAGATATTAGCTGTTAAAATCACGCCAGAAAAGAAGGGAGTGGGCAGGGAGGGAGGGAAAATGGTAATCTAGAATGATTTCATCTCAGAGTGTGGGTGTCATCTCATTAAATTGCTTTTTAAAAAATATTTTGATGGTAACTGTGGAAAACATCTCAGGGCTATGTTCTGCTTAGCAGGGATTGCTCCATAAGGGCACGGGAGGAAGAAT